TCTTCACTTAACGCTTTAGATTTTAAATGTGCACAATTAACAAATGATGGTGACACAAAAGAACGATTTGCACCCGAATCAAATAAAACTTTGGCACATACTGAATTAACAAGGAATGTACCTGTCACCACTTCAGGGTGCTCTTCCGCCTCTCTTCTCGTCATCTGAAAGGCTCTCCCTTTTGCATTAGACTCTACCTGTCTTGTCCCTCCCCGTCCAGTTGGACTAACACGATTATCCATTTGCCCACGACCTGTTGGCACATACCCTGATCCTCGACCCCCAGAATATCCAAATCCCCAACCTCCAGCAAAACCAAACCCTCGACTCTTTGCTTGCGGACAATTAGCACTTATATGTTGAGATGAATTACAAGTAAAACACCTTCGCGTCACCCGACAGTCTCGAGCTATATGTCCAGGTTCCTGACATTTAAAGCATACTCGAGATTTTGTATTGCAATTTCCTTGATGTATTTTATGACATCGAGTACACGCCTTATCATTAAACCTTGAGACTGGTCGATTCACATTTTCCATAAACCTCGGTCTACGGAAATCAGTTACTGTAGTTTCCCCTTTTCTTTTCTCTCCAACCCTTTCTTGCAGTTGCCGGTTAATATCTTGTTCCAATATTTCAGCAGCATCAACTGCCGCTTGAAATGTTGTCGGATTCCTGGATATCACATACTTTCGAAGATTTGCCTCCAATCCCCATATATACTTTCTCACTTTACTGTTTTCAGATATAATATAGGCTTCAGCAAACCTAGATTGTTCCATGAAAACTTTTGTATACTGGCGGACTGACATGTTTCCTTGTTCAAGACGAAGGAAATCATCTTCCAACTTTCGAATTGCAGCTTCAGGACAATACTGCATTTTAAATTTAACCACAAATTCTTCCCATAACATGGTTTTCAGAATGTTCGGATCTGAACTGGACAAGACTTCCCACAAGTACAAAGCACTTGATCTCAAACGAGATACAACAAACATAACTTTGTCTTCTTCTGCACTTTTACTGATTTGCAGATTCAGCTCTATCTCCTTAAGCCAACACATAGCTTTAACAGGATCACGCTTACCAAAAAACTTAGGAGGTTTACAAGCAAAAAACATCTTGATATCTCCTCCTTTTTGTACTAAGGACGAAGTGAGGGGTACAGATGTACCAGTTACCGGTGTACTAGCTCCGGCTTCCTCCTGATCGGAATTTCTTACCACATTTGGATTAGTTTGGTTTGTACGCCTTAACAAAATTACCAAACTTTCCTGAAATTTTCCCAACTCTGCTGCCAACATATCTTGAGTAATATACTTGGGGTCAGAAACATTATGTCCACCCCTTGCCCTTCCTCGACCACGGCCAGACATTGAACTTTCTTGGGTCGACAATTCCTGTTCCCCACGAATTTCTTGTCTAGTGCCTCTACCCCTTCCTCGTCCTCTGCTACGACTTCGTGTTTCTATTACATTTTCTGGATCCTCTCGTTGTGATTACATTTCTTCTTCCTCAACCTCTTCCATAACCAGTAGAGGTCCTTTCTGATTGATTGGGATTATCTGCCATTTCTCCGTATGTAACCTTTTCTGTCACATTGAAGCACATATGATTATTCTCATAATCACAACATAATAACACATTTATCCTCATGTCTACTCATAACTCAGATTATATCAATCATATATAATCTATCTTTCTCATAATAGGTTCAGCTATAACATATTCCCATGTTCATAGACCCAGTGAAACCTATTATCATAACTTTCCACACCTCTAGTTTAAGTCTAAGTATTTCGCAAATACCCAGATCCCTTAAACTAAGGCTCTGATACCAACTGTAACAACCCTCGGAATCCCATATAAATAATTCACATCTTCATACTCATAATACTATAAACAGTATTATTACAAAACATGGGCTAACAAAATGTATCCTTAATACATATATGAACAAACTATTATCATCATTTATACTTTT